CCTCGCAACACTAATCGCCGCGCACACAACAAAGACGCGACTTTGCGCAAACGGATTCAGACCACTTCCAGTGCCTATACGGCCGCCCACCATCAGCCTTCTGGACAAACAAAGGGCATTCTAGTCTTGGCGCCCGCACCTCACCCACCAACCCAAACAAGGGCTCGTCGCGGCAGCTACTCGGCTTGCGTGCTTTGAGGACAAAGCACCTTCTCAAGGCGGGGGGTAGTGTAAGGATGCCTCCTTACTCGGGGTAGTTACGGCCGTCACGTGGCGCCATCGAGACTCGGGGCCGTTACGGGTCAGTCGCGACTGACAGCCTTAGGCACATAACGTAAGGAAGCCTTAGGCAAACAGGGAGCTAGCTGAGTCGGAGCGGTTTCGGGTATTTTAAGGGAACAGCCATACAGGGTGACACCTTCATCTTTTTTGTATCCTTCGTAGTAGACCTATAGGATTGCACCGACTCATATCCGACTCGCACTCCCATATGCCACTTCTCGTGATACGGTGCCCTGCGTCCTTACAACGTTGGGCTTCAAACTTTGTTAAGCGCCATGTAGAGCTCCGGACACGCTTCCAGCGAAAATACGACTACCAGAGGGCTAAGTGCAAAGATCCAGAAGTCATTCGTGTGTCATACTGACATTCGTTGCACTCAGTTTGCTATCAAACTCAAGAGCAAACTTGGAAATCTCCTCCTCAAACCTACAAGTCACTATACATATTTTGGCTTATCACACCAACAACAAGAGCAATACTACTCAACGATTGCTACAACCATCTATGATTCATTACACGTCATCGCTCCTTAGTTACTGGGCCGATATTACCACATAGCATATCTCTACAACCCTCTATGATTCATTACATGACATCACTCATACTACCACATGACATATCTCTACCAACTAGAGGCCTAGGAGCATGAACGATAGCTCTAAAAGCTCCTACGAACCTCTATGATTCATTACATGTCATCGCTCTTTAGTTACCCACAAGATTGGTTAAGTTATGACATAATTTGTCTATGACATAATTTGTCTATGACATAATTTGTCTATGACATAATTTGTCTATGACATAATTTGTCTATAGGGGTACTCTGACCTTGGACCTCCTTTTACTTCCTATAGGCTACGAACCTAAGAGATGGTTCTATGGGATTCTCTTACGTCGACTACAGTTACCAAGCCTGGTAATCATGGAAAGTCTTGGAAAATGAGAGAACTACACTCCTTTAGCATAAATAGGATTGCCCTTTCCTTAAGAAAGGGCAAGCAGACAATACAGTAAATCGACTATCACATACTTCCACGTCTTTTCCAAGCTTCCAAGCATTCATCTTGTTACTCCTTGTTTCTGAAAAGTCAGTGAGGTGTTAACCTCTGACTTACCCCTGAGTTCCCAGACTCAACATTTGTTGCAACTTGTCTGAACCACTTCACTACATCACACATCTGATTGCTGCGTTGTGGAATAGTCTAAGCTACGACCCTTTGGCTCTGTTTTCTAAGACAGTGTGTTGTCTTAGTAAATTCATCCCTTCCTTGGGTGGCTAGATTCTCACATCTGGTGCACCCACCATTACATCGTGGCTGGTTTGAGCTTGTATGGAACACAATTCTAAAGTATGGCATCAACAATGCAGATATCTACAACTTTGATGAGACTGGGTTTATGATGGGCGTCATCTCAAGCGCAACGGTAGTAACGAGCTCAGATGGGCGGGCAAAGGCAAAAAAGGTGCAGCCTGGCAATCGGGAATGGGTTACAGTAATCCAAGGCGTTAGTTCTCAAGGTTGGGCAGTGCCGCCATTTGTCATTGTGGCAGGTAAAAACCACCTTGCATCTTGGTATGAGAATAGCGGATTTCCAGCAGATTGGGTAATCGCTGTTACTGCAAATGGCTGGACTACAAACGAGAGAGGTATGGATTGGATTCAGCATTTTGACACACAAAGCCCTGGAGTGTTGGTGGTTATCGCTTGTTAGTCCTTGATGGTCATGAGAGCCACCACTCAGACAAGTTTGAGGAGTACTGCAAACAACACAACATTATACGCTTTGTATGCCTGCTCACTCTTCCCATATACTCCAACCACTTGATGTTGGCTGTTTTGGCCCATTAAAGAGAGCTTACAGTCAGCAAATTAAAGATATGATGCGGGCTCATATTATTCACATTACTAAGGATGACTTCTTTCCTGCCTTCCACGCTGCATTTAACATTGCAATGACAGAAAGCAATATTCAGGGAGGGTTCCGAGGTGCTGGGCTTCTTCCATTTAGCCCTGAGAGTGTAATATCTAGACTTGACCTTAGGTTTAAGACGCCAACACCTCCAACCTCTCGCCCAAACACCGCTCAACCATGGGTTTCTCAGACACCAAATAACCCAACTGAAGCTGTATCACAGTCTACTTTCATTAAAAACCGAATTGCGCATCATCAAAATAGCTCTCCAACCTCAATCTATGCAGCTGTTGACCAGTTTACAAAGGGTGCATCGCAAATAATGCATCAATTAGCATTGTTAAAAGCAGAGAACCAAAACCTGCGACAGGCAAATGAAGTGCTAAGCAAGCGCCGGAGAGCTAAAAAAACACGACTACAGCAAGGAGGATCACTTAGTCAACAGGTAGCACAGGAGCTACAGGACGAGAGGGATGTTGTGCAGCAAGTAGAGCAAGAAATAAGGGCAAGTAGTGGTCGGAAGCCAAGGGAAGAAACCCATGCACGTCGCTGTGGCAAGTGTGGTGAGACTGGACACAATGCGCGCACTTGTCAGATTGTAATAGACAGGTCTGAGGAAGAGGACTCCGAGTAGTTTTAATTAATTTATATTGTTGTGGTGGATTTATCGCAATTCTTATGGGGTAGTCGCGATATTTTGGCACTTTCGCTTGTTTGGCACTTTCGTTATACATGCACGTTATGGTGGTGGGTAAACAATACGCTAATATACGGTAAACTTATAGAATCCCCGCAAATAGTGTGCTAGTACAACGCGACGAGACAGCCGCGAGGTTACACGTTTAGCGGTTATGCACCGTCTATCTATATAATCTATATACAGGTTTATTGCTTGCGATTATTCAAGTCGTTTTAACCGATTGGATCAAGGGTAACGAGGTTGATGCACTTTCCCCGTTTGAGTTTACGACTAAACTGTAAGCGCCCTAGTCTGGGCGCTTACTGTAACGTTACTACTTCGACCTCCTGATGCAGGTCCAAACAGAATGCCACGGTTAGTATGTCTTTCTGTCTATCTGCATCTTTCTCGAGATGCGAGTTGTCTTTCCTTTCCAACTATGTTCACCATGACGGGGCAGCGCTCCTCTTTTGTTTCTATTATTTTTGCATGCGTTTTTCTGCCTGCAATTGTGCAGGCAACCTGCTATAATCCCGATGGCAGCGAGATTACCAACCCTGCGTTCCAGCCATGCAACCAGGTCGTTGGAAAATTTAGTATGTGTTGCGGCACGAATTGGACGGGCGGGGTTGTTATGCCAGACACATGTCAGGAGAATGGGCTTTGTTTAAACTCATTCGAAAACAAGCCATTATACTGGCGCGGGAGTTGCACCGATCCTACGTGGAAGAGCCCAAATTGTCTGGCTAATCTTTGCGCAACTGATGGTGTGAGTGAGCCCACTCTTTACGGGGGTGGAGTCAAGCGATGCTAATTATGATATCAGGATGCTGGTGTGGATGGCAGTGCTGCTGCACAAAACGTTGCCGTGACTGAATGCAGCGATGGCTCTTGGTGTTGCGGTGGCAGAAACAAAAGCTGCTGCAAAGATGGAACTGGAATCAAGATCGCGGCTGTTGTGGGACAGGCAATCTCGTCCTCACACTCGAGTTCCTCGGAATCCACCTTGCCGCCATTTTCCACACTACCAACTACTTTGCCTAAATCAACATCCCCGCCAAAAAGTACACCTACGCCATCAACCACTCCTCCGACATCAGACATATCTACGACATCAAGCACATCCCCACCAACAAGCACATTTCCAACTACACCGTCCACTTCAGTCCCCGCCCATACGCCGACCCCGACCAGCGAACCTACGTCAGGAGGCCTTACAAGTGCCACGAAAATTGGCCTCGGGGTTGGCATCGCAGGTTGCCTTTTAGCGATCGGGATGCTTGTCACCTGCTTGGTGTGCTTACGGCGAAAAAGGCAAGTTGATAAGGATACAGAGGGGGATGCAACCAATGTTCCGCGCTCACGCGCGAGCATATTTCCATGGGGCCGGCACGAGATGCCTGCCAGCCCGAATGAGACGCCGCTGCCGCCCTTCTGGCATGAGGTTAACGGGATGAAATCTCCGACTGAGATGGATGGGGTACAGCACCCGGTAGAGTTACCATCACAAAGGTGGAGTAGAAACATGTAGCGGGTTTACATTACACTGTAGCATAGCATGTTCTATGGCGTTGTTTATCTTAAAATTTAAAATTTACAAATATGATTTCATAAAAAGTACAAAAAAGCCTGGCGTTAAGATGAACGTCAAAATCTACGCATACATGCGCTACGTTTGCGTGTGAGAAAAGTGGTATATTTTATCTTCCATCTCATGGCCACAATCATGTCTCGCCTAACAATAACACCTCTAATCCAGCCTAGAATACTTCTCACTTTTATAATAATGACATTCTATTACAACTCTCCTGGTACAGAAGCATACTTACGCCACTTCGCTAGACCCGATCCTCCTCGCCGCTTCCCTCCCTAGCCAGATCACTGGAGTAATGAAAAGCACGATACAAACACTCGCAACAACGGGCTTGCAAGCCAACCACGACACCCACCCCGCTCCTCGCAATCCAACTAGGCTGGAAGTATCTGTTGGAGTGTATTACGGTGACCGGGGATCACACCCAAATTGTAAGGGTTCTCTGGTACCCGAAATGCTCACTTCTGGGCAGCGCCAGCGAGTATCACAATCAAGGGCAGTATGTAGAGTAAATCGATCAAATTGAATTAATTACGCTATCTAATGGGCCTACGTATATATTTGTAGGCTTCGTGGGCAAGCCCAAGACCCTAACAAGAAGGGCGTTGGCGCCCAATATGTGATAGGATTCGGTGGCTGCATACGGTTATGCACCACCACCGAACCTGTGAGCTAATCCGGGAACCAGGCGGTCAGAATGCTGGAAACCCGATTTCCAGGGCCAAATGGCCACCGTAGCCCATAGCCCACGTTCTATTCCCGCCGTACCATGTGCCAACCGTGGATAGTCTTTCTAAGACTAGCTAAGTGCCCAATGGTAGTCTACCATCAACCACATCTCTACCATTGGTAGAGATGTGGTTGATGGCAGAGATGATAAGTGCTCGAGGATGGAGATGTGCTTGATAGCAGAGATGATAAGTGCTCTGGTTACGCTAGTGCATCAGGCTATGGTTCAATGACCTTTCTTTCTAAACCTTTCACCTTCATGCAACTAGCGACCAGGTGGAGCGCCTCCTACGATCCGGTCTCAAACGAAAGCTCTTTGGCCGTACCAATAAAATTGTAAGTGCATCCTATGATCCAATACCATCCAATTACTTATTCTACAACCAGTGTGCACGCTGCAGAAAACAACATCCAGTGGATTGTCTTCGAGCTGGTCCAGAAGTTCCGCGGCCCCAGAACTGGCAAATTCCACGCCATCGCTTGGTGGTCAGCCCGATGGCCCATCGACTTCTGAGGACACAGAATCTTCGTCGTCCGAGTCACCACAGCCACCCACCCGTCGACGATTAGTGTCCCGACGTCGCATGCTGGCCTATATGTCTTATGAGTAGCCTGTCCGGTCCATGCTCAAGCATAATGACCCGCTCATGGGGACCGCCGATGGTGTCGGCAATGAGCAAATCATACAGCCGCTCGATCGCTACAATCACCACGATCTCGCTATATCTTAAGCAAGTCCAACGTTCGCCATCTACCACCACGCAGCGCCGTGTAGCTCTCAGCCAAGTTGAGCCCGTAGGAATTCCCACGAAATAACGCGTCATCCCGATTGATTCATTCCTAGCCGTTTCACGACGCATTCCGTAAAACACAATGGCGCCGTGTCTCTAAAATGTGGAGTAGGACGTCCTACTATGCACAAAATTTCCATTTTATTCTACGAATCACGCAAATTACAAGATATCACCAACCTCTCTTCATAGGTTTTCAATCTAATCCATATAATCTATACTGATTACTGATTACACAGCCAAGTCTTCTAATCTACTCTCCACTATCCACACCCGCTCTCAGACGCCCATATGATGCGACATCCAAGATTTTCCCCATTCTAAAGATGCCATGGAAATGCCAACTCCCCTTATCCTATCCCATCCTATCCTATCCTATCCCGACCCAATCGCATGAAAAACGCCAAATGCAGATCCCATACACACACTTATATCCTTGCTTGCCGATCACATAAAAAATACAAATCCCAAGTTAGCGCTTTGTCTTTTTGCCATGCTGTCCAATGTAAAATCCCAACATTAACTCCTCCTCTTTCATCATCCTCTTTCTTCATCCTCTTTCTTCATCCTCTTTCTTCATTCTCTTTCCTCATCCTCTTTCTTCATCCTATTTATCCCGCCTCTTTCTCCCTCTGTCCCGTCGTCCGTCACCCATCTTCGATTGCCTATCCTCCGTCACCCACCCTCTATACCCACCCACCTTCAAACCCCCCATCAACAACTCACCCAAACCCCTCCATCCCCCCAAACCCCATATCAACCCCCTCCCTCGTCTCCGGGCTAAACCGCGGCAACTCAGGCGGCGGTTCCGTCTCCGCCAAACTCGGTCTCCTCCTCAACTCCCCCCTCCCCCTCGCCATCCCCCTCGGTACCCCCCTCCATCACTCCCACCAATCCTCATCGACCCCCCACTCCTGGACCCCCCACTCCCGCTCCCTGACTGCGCCGACAAACCCGCCGACGCATCGCGACTCATAGGCGCAGAACTATACCCGGAGACATTACGCGACATGGGTTGAGAGCTGTACCCCCCTACGCGGCGGGGCTGTTGCGGGGTCGCGGGTATGAGGGGGAAGTATGCCCGTCCCTGTCCTGATCCCGACCCCGACCCGCCCTGCTGAGATCCGCCCATCGCGGGGGCTTGGGGGTACAAGTACGGCGTCGGTGCGCTGACGGTGCTGGCGACGTGGGGACAGACGTCGGAGGATTTGAGAACAGGTGCTGTGGAGAGGGCGGGTGCGTATTCGATTGGGAGGGGACCTGTTTGGCGGGGGTATTTGGCAGGGGGGAGGGGGGACGAGAAGTCGGGTGTTGAGATGGGGTAGGGTTGGGTGTACATGCGTAGCGGGGGGCGGGGGGAGAGGCTGTTTTCTTCTCTGCGGGGTTGGGCGGCTGTGGTGGCGGAGGAGGAGGAGGAGGAGGATGAGGGTCGGGGTTCGTATGGGATACCCCTTAGTGCCGTCACCGCCGGAGTAGCTGGCCTTGGGCGGGGTGAGGGTTTGCTCCTGGATCTCTTTTGTCCTAATCCAGTGCATGATCCGGACGTGGATGTCGAAAGAGGACTACCGACAGCTTCGAAGATCGTATCCCCCGCGACCGCCTCGCCCTGCCATCCAGCGCTCTTCCCACCCAACATCTCGCTCGGCCTCCTCTGACTACTCGTTCTCCTCCCCCGGTCCTGGATATGTCCTCCCCCCCTACTCGGCGGCGGCGAACTCTTACTAATCTCCCCCAGCGCCACCTCTGCCGCGCTGAGTCCACTAGGCAGGTTCCCTTTCGCGCCGGGGATGGGTATGCCCATTACGCCTTCGACGCCTCGGTTACCTGGGCGGCCGCGGCGCTCGAGAACCCCCATGGCGGTCTCGTGAGAGAGGGAGACGCGGGGGTCGGCGGCGGCGCGGAAGGCGCCTGTGGTGTCGTGATAGCGGGATGCTTCGAGGGCGCGGGTGGTGCGGTGGAGGTCTGCGCGGGGGAGGGTGGTGCGGGGATGGCGTGGGGGGGCCACGGTCCATTCTTCTTTTGTCGGTGTGGGGGAGTCGAGTTGGGAGGTCGGGGAGGTGATGGTGTTTGTGGGACCAGTGGGGGCGATGCCTGGGCCGATGGAATAGTGGGAGCCGCGCATTATGACGGAGGCGGAGGCGTTGGATGACCAGTCTGAGTCATACCCATCGTCAACCTCTGGAATCGCCGGGAACTTCAGCGGGAAATCATTCACGTTCACGGGGCTTTCCAGCTGCGAAGCCTCCATACCCCAGAGGTGAGCGCCTGGCGGGTACGAATCAGCAGGACCGGGCGTCTCCGGGCCAGTATCAGACGAGGAGCTCGTGCGGTCGAAAATTGACAGCATGAACGCCTCGTCGCTGCTGCCTCTCGCGATATCCAGCGACGACTCGCGGGTCCGCCGCACAATTTCCGCCATGATGTCGCGGAGCGACGCTTCGAGTGGCTCGCGGATAGCGGGGAGAGATGGGCCCTTACGCTCTAGGCGCGCGAGGTGAGCTAGCAGGCAGCGGGCGTGGATCTCGTAGGAGCGGAAGTCGCCGACGAGGCCTGCGTTGGTCTTGGCTTGGATGCGCTGGGATGCCTGGTCGTAGGATTTGGTGAAGAGGGTCTTTGCGCGGGCGAGCCAGGTGGCGCGGGTGCCGGCGGCGCGGAGGGAGTCGATGAAGAAGTCTTGGACGACGGAGTGGATGCGGATTATGTCGAGGTCGTCGGCGAGGAGGTGGGAGGAGTCTTTGGAGGAGGTGGAGGCGTGGGGGCTGAGGTCGTGTTCGGAGCGGCTGATGAGGGCGTAGCTGTTGAGGATTTTGAAGGTGTTGTTTAGGGATCGGCCGGTTGCCATCTCGTAGGTTTTGACGGGGATGTCGACTGATTTGAGGCCTGTGGACGTTAGTTCAGCTTGAAAGACACCGAGAGAGTGAGAACCTACCCAGAGAAATCATTTCCACCGGGATACTACTGCTGAAGAACGCCAGTATACTAATCAGATTCAATGCCTCATCCGCCTCTGAGTTCCGTAGCTGCTCCACAACAGCTACATAGGTATCCAGGGCCCTCAGCTTCGGCCCTGATGCGTACGCTCTCGCAAACTTCGCCAACGGTTCCTGCGTCGATTTCAACCTCTTCGCTGCCACATGAATTACCTCCGGCAGAAACCCCATTCTTTGCACCAGCTTCATCGCCTCGGCGAGGTCGTCTGTTGTCGGGTTCTTTCGGCCCAGTTCCTGGAGAAAGAGTTCCTGTGCTGCGCGCGCTGATAGTAGAGGTACCCTGATAACCTCCGGGTTCATGAAGTGGTGGTCGCCACTGACACTGTGCTCGGTGGATGTGTAGAGAAGGCTGCTATTCGTGCTATCGGGGATGAAGCGACTGAGAGTCTCATTGTGGTCGAAGTGGATTCCATCCAGAACAAGCAGCCAGTCATGGTGCGTAGTAAACCACTCAATAACGCACCTGACAAAATCCTCAGTCTCCTTCGCCGCCACGCTACCACTCGCAGGTGGTAACGCAACAGTAGCAGCAATATGCCAGAAACCAGCCTCGAGCTGCTCGGGCGACTTGGCAGTGACCCAGAAGACGCCGCCGGGGAAGTCTTGGAGGTGCTTGTAGACATATTCGCGCGCAAGATGTGTCTTTCCGCCGCCAGGGATGCACTGGATGAGGACAGCGGCGACGCCCTCGGCGCGGCGCTTGCGGTCGAAAAGCATGCGGTGCATCTTTTCGAGTTCCTCCTCGCGGCCGACGAAGAGGGAGTTAGGACGAAAGCCTTGGGGCTTGATGAAGAACGCGGTGGGGGCTGTGGTAGTAGCGGCGTCAGCGGGTCTGGCAGCAGGCTGGGCGAGATTTGCGTTCGATACGGCGAGCGACGAGTCTACATAGGCACGAGAGAATCAGCCCTGTTCATTTTTTAAGGATAGAGAGTAGAGTAGTGACATGGTATAGAGTGTAAGAAAAACCCCGAAGAAAATAAAAAAGATAAATCACAGAACGACAGAATCAACGCTCCACCAGTTCCGCTTCTCTCTCCTCAACCTCCTCCGTTGTGTACTGGTACTGAAACGGCGACGCAGCCTGGCGCGGCGCTGCCTCAAGTGCAGCCCGCGGCTGACTCGTCGCCGGTGCTTGGTGGGAAGTAGATGGCGACCTACTGTTTGAAATTCCCGACGCCTCCTGTGGCCGCGGCTGTGCCACCAGGGCACTCAACTATTCAAAAGTCAGAATGTATATTTCGCTACGGCTCATCTAAGGCTAACTCACAGTATCATCCTTATCCGTCACGAAGATGCCCAACAGCTCCTTAGCCTCATTCTCCTTGGCCTGCCTCCTTGCCTTCCGCTCTGCAGCCCACCTCGCCTGGATCTTTGGCGTGCAGTCATTTGCCCACCCCTTGATCGCCGTGCTGACATTCAGATAGCCCGGGGCGTTCTTGCTCTCAAACTTACACATGGACGAGTGCGTGCCTTCGATGCCGTAGTATCGGACGCCTGGCAGCGGTGGGGAGGCAGAGGCCTGGTCGACGACGAAGATCTTGGTGCCCTTGAGATCAGTTCTCATAGCCTCGTGCACCATGTCGATCTCGAAGCGCTGGTAGATGTCGAGGAAGTGCAGGTTGATGTTCTGCAGGGTCTCGTTGTTGTTCTGGAGCGTCTTGAGAAGCTGGTCCTCCGTCTCGACGATCTTCTTGGGCATGACGGTCCGCACCAGCGAGTGCAAAACTTGTCCCCATTTCGCGCCGTCAGCACCAAGGTGCGGCGTGCCCAGGAAGATGATGCCGTAGGTAGAGACGTAGATGGAGCGGCTCGGGTCAGCGCTCTTGCTCGTGAGGTCGTTTGAGAGTTCCAGTGCCTAGATATGTTACCTTTAGCCACTGTCCTAAACGAGCATCCTGTGGGCCAGCGGGGACACTCACCCTCTTTACCAGTATGCCACCTAAGCTATGTGCAACCCAGATGATCGCATTCTCCTCCTTCTCCTCGCTCATCCTCTCCATGCTCAGCCCCGTTAACAGGCTCTGTGCATGCTGATGTATCATATCAGAGCTTGCGCTCTTATCGCTGCCGAAAGTATATACGTCTGCGTTGTAGCCATAGACTAGGACCCTGGCCGTGGCCTGCCGTAGTGTCAGAGGCAGCAGCTCGCTGGGCCAGAAGACGCCGTTCTTTGCGGTCCATGTGTTCTGTGGGTGGCCGTTGAGGCCGTGGACGAGGACGATGTCGACAGTGGCTTCGGGGTGGGCATAGACTTCGGTGACCTCGAAGCGCTTGATCTGGTCGAGGGGCATGGTTGTGCCCTGTGGAAGAAAGAGTTAGCTGGTGCTCTCTAAGGCCTCTGGCCTAGTATAGGTCATGGGGAATGTGGGGTGGAAAGGAGGGGAACTCACCATTCTGCATGTTGATTTGTGGCCAGAACAAGCCAAAAGATAGGTATGCGTATATAAGTGTATGTAGTATATCTGCGTAGGAGCCCGAACAGCAGGGGGGGCGGGGGACAAAGCTTTATATACTCTTTAATCGTCCGCCAGGCTTAGTCTGTCAAGAAGGCTGCCACGCCGAGTAACAGAGTTCACGTGGAGGGCGCAGAGAGCCATGCAGACAACTGTCTCTAGACGGAAGGGGATCGATCCCTCTAATCACACCGAATCATGGGGAGCGTGCGTCAAGTAGGCTCAGCCAGGAAGGAGTGCATATTAATGGAGAGAGCGTCCACCGCGACCATACCGACACCACCAGCTCACAGCCTCTCCCACCCCTCGCAGCCTTCTCTTTTGGGGGGGGGGGGATTAAGTAGATGGCAGGTAGAGGACAGGTAGTCGGCGTGAATGAATGGTGTAGAGACCCTGTTGTTAATTGGTGTTAGTAGAGTGCGGGGTACATAGAGTGAACTTTATACCTACCTTTCAGGGAGAGGACAGAGAGAGAATAGAGGGCTGCCCTGTTATCCATGCTCGAGCTCGAGGGCATAGGGGGTACATGTCTAACCAGCCATAAATAGCGGTGGCTGGAAGTCACTCCCATGGTTGCTGGCGCCAAAATCAACATGGGCAGCTGATTTGCCAGCGTCATGTGCGGGTGTCTCGGGGGTCCGGGGCGTGGCGGCGTGGCGGCGTGGCCGGGAACCGTTTGGGAGGGCGGTTGTTGAGGAGGAGGGAGGTACCAAGCGTCTGCCGTATACAGTACACTACATTGTACCGTCAACCACCCACACCTCAGTGTACTTTACGTACAGATGGTACAAAACACCCACCTACCGTTACCGTCGGGAGACAGGCGGCAGGCGGCCACCCGGTGAGCCATTCCCAACCAGTTATACGGAACAGCGGCCAACCCAGGCGGCCATATACCGGCGGCCTACAATCGTGGTGGTGGTGCCTAGTACCATATGCTGACAGCGGCGGCTGGGCGGGCGTACTGGCTGATTCTGTTGCACTCACCCACGCATACGCACACAGGTGGCTGGGTGACGCCGAGTGCGTGAGACAGCCTGGGAGGCACTATTTATTGGCTTCTTTCTGATGGGCTACGATTGACTTCTGATGGGCTACGATTGGCTACTGATGGGCTACGATGGGCTACTGATGGGCTACTCATACGCATTTTTGCTATCACGGGGTGGGAGAAGAACTGCGGACGGGATGCACACCGAGTCTGTCTTGCACTGGCGTTGGGGATGTGAGAGATGCGGAGAGTGGTGAGTGGTGATTATTGGCTGAGGGAGGTCATAGAACGGCCAGAGGAAGGCCAGAGAGTCTCGCAAAGAGGAGTCATACCGGTTGGTATCATACTGACTGGCTAGCTGGCATTCTCACATTCGCTTTCGCCCCGGGTCTGCCTGCCTTTCCAAATACGGCATATCCAGCCTCATCGTGGCAGAGTTCGGCACTTACTCACTCACTCGTCACCCACGCCCCAACGCCATGGTATGATTACCACGTGGGCCGCTGGCTATATTCGCACAGCAGGCAAGCAATCCCATGTTCCTCCGGCATCCTGCATCTGTTCCCAATCCCATATCCCTCATCCTATCCTCCGTCTTATATCCTCCGTCTTATATCCTCCGTCTTATATTTCCCGTCTTATATCCCCCCACTCCCTTCATGCACAGTCCCTTGATGCACAGTCCCTTCAACACCCAGCCCCCCTCATGCACCACCACCTTCCCCCGCTCTTCCAGAAACGCCACAACCGCCAAGTCTCCCTCTTGCCGTCCCCTCATCATGCATCACCAACTCCACCATGTCTCTCTGCTGCAGCTTCGGGGCTGCGAAAAGACGCAGGGAAGGTATCGATCTGCGCCGTTGAGTCGCGGGTCAGTCTGACAGCTGCATAGAAGACAGGATGAGTGGGGAACGAATGGATGAATGATGCGCTCCGGCACATAGATGGTGGAGCGGATGACAACATACGGGAGGAGTGTCACAAGGCGGCAATAGCAGCGTTACGCACACCAGAGGCTCAGACAAGCTTCCGCCACAAGGGTACACTGCAGTAGCGCACGGGTAGGTCAGCCACCGGTAGTACGTGTCACCACTCCCCCGATCGGCGCTCCTTGGACGACGGTCATTTCATCCCGCCTTGGATGGCATTTCTGTTTGAGATGTCCCCGCCCGACTAGCAGGGGTATTTTCTACACCCGCTCCAACGGTTTCTTACAGTATGATACACTACGATACAAGCGCAATATATAGTGAGAATCTGACAACACCAGATCGGAGATGCCTCCGGCGGCCCGTCTCATGCAGATCTAGCACCGTAGATGGCAGATCGCGAGTCCCTGCCTGCTCACACACACGTTCCATGTGGCAGCCACATCCGCCTTTGAAAGGCGGTCCCTAAAACGGCTTTCTGCTGCCGCCGCGTGAGCGGTTCGCACACCCGCATATATACTTCAGATGATTCTGCTGTTTATTCCCTTGTCGGCGCCGCGTGAAGTGAAGTGGTATTAGAGGGGGGTAGTATCGGTGTTGAGATGGGAATCTGCCGACGGCGTCGGAAATCGCCGGCGAAGAGGAGGGAGTGGGATGGAAGTTCCGCGGTTGCGATGTCAGTTGCCGCATGGGCGGCCGGCGTCATCGGTATCATCGATTATACTCACCGGGTATGGCCACGTGAGCTCTCTTCTTCAACAGCGATATTCCATTTTCCTCATTCCGGTATTCCGCATCTCCCCTCCACGATCCCTTCCCTCGCCCAAGCCAAGCCAACCCACCGGCACCAACAGCGCCACCCAACCCACTACCCCCCTCCTAATCCTTCCGCAGCATAACAACATACTCCCTCGTACTCTCCCCAAACGCCAACAAATCCCCCCCTCTAACCTCCACAAACCTCGCCCCCTCCACCTCCCCCCCATTAAGCTTCGTCCCATTCGCGCTCTCCAAATCCAGCAAATACGGCTTCACCCCCCCCTTCCTATCCCCGTACTCATCCACCTTCTCCACGAACCTAAACTGTATCACCGCATGCTGCTTACTGATACTCGGGTGCTCAGCGGGTAGATCCGCGATCGAGGCGTCGCGCCCGATGAGCCAGCAGCTCCGGCTACCGAGGTCGATGGTGTCGACTATCTCCCCGTTTTTGAAAACGAAGAGCTTCCAGGCGTCGCGGGGGGGGGGCTTGCGCGCCTCGGGCGGCTCGTGGTATTTTAGGACTATGGCGGCGCCGGAGGAGGTGGTTACGGTTTTGGTTTCGGCGGCGAGGAGGCCGGTGGGCGCGAAGTTGGGTTGTTTTTTCTCGGGAAGGGGCTGCCCGTCGTGGGGGACCATGGCGCCATCATCCCCTGTATCTCCTCCGCCATGGCCGCCGCCACGACCGCCGCCACCGCCGCCACCGAAGCCGCCACCGAAGCCGCCACGTCCACCACCACCATATCCACCGCGGATCATAGAGAAACTATCCTGCTGACTCGGGAGGGGTGCATTGCTCTTCCGCATCGGCGAGGGTGCGGCGGGGATAGGTCTCGCATCACCATCGCGGTTGCGGTCGCGGCTTCGAGGGCGCGCGGAGCGGTGCTTAGAGTCTCGATCGCGATCACGGCTGCGCGGGCGCGGGGATCGGAGTTTCGAATCTTTGTCGCGGGAGCGGTCGCGGTGTCTACGGTCCCTCCCGCCATGATCCCGTCCATGGCGATGGTGTCTCCGGGACGAGTCGTCGCGCGGGCTCCTAGAGCGGCGGCGTTTGGTAGCGGATGCGCTCTCTTCATCTGATCTGTGGGAGCTGCGCGTCTTATCGTTATCGCGGCCGTGGTATCTTTTTCGCGTGCTATCTGCGTCTCTGGACTCGCCATCTCGGTCCTCGCGCTCGCGGCGGCGGTGTCGCCGGCGTCGCTCGTCTTCGGAGTCAGAGGTTAGTGAGCGTCTGCGCTCTCTTTTGCTTTCTGAGCGCGGTTCAGAGTCGGGCATTTTGTTGGGATTAGGTTTTGTGGTGAGGTAGGTAGGTTGGTAGGAGGGTGGAGGTAAAGTTTTTGGTAGGATTGGGGTTGGAGTTGTCAGCCTTGGGGTTTGGAGATGCCGCCTCGTCGTCGGGTTTACGATTTTCCCGCCTAGTGGTACAGGGGTTCTCATATCAACGTAACTCCCATCCCGTCACGAATGCAATGCAATGCAATATGAAGAGTAGCAAATACAGACAAAAGATAAGATTTATAAATATTTCATTTATGCTATCAACCATCCCCCCAATTCTCTTTGCCTTCGTCCCACACATAAGGGCCAATCTAATACCTAAACGCCACGAGTTGAGATGATAAACCAGTAACCCCGTCCATTTAAACACCACTCAGCGCCAAAAGCTCCATAATTCGTAGATTTCATGTTTTCTGTACTCACCATCCCCTCCCAACCACTATCTATCACCAAGGACTACCACAACGTCCATCACCGGCGAATATCCACGCTCGACCCCCTAGTGGAATCCATACTCGGCCTCGGCATCGATGAGATACTCGAGCTCCTCCTCCTGTGCTGGCGCTCTTCGTTCGGGTCCTGTGTCTGTAGGCCTGATTGGCGCGCGAACAGGTTTAGGACATCAGTGAGGGATACGACACCCGTGAGGCGGCCGGAACGGACGCCTGGGTATGCCGCAGCGGAGATGGATGGGTAGGCGGGCGACAGAGGAGGCGAGGCGGAGGGGTGCGTCCCATGGGGCTGAGCGGCAGCGAGGACGGATGGAACAGCTTGTGGCGTTGGTGTTGGGGCCGGAGAGGGGGACTCGGTAACCCACATGCGCTGGGAGGTAGTAGCGACGAGTTTAGCGACGGTGTGAGCGAGGGTAGAATCGGGGTGGACGTGGAAGACGGGGACGGAGTCCTTGCCGTTGTCTGTGCCGCGCTCCATGAGGATGACGGAGATGAAGTGGGTGCAGGAGGATTTGAGGAGGGGGAGGGAGCTGGTCTTGGTGAGGTGCTTGACGTCAGTGGTGGAGATGTTGCCGATGACGTTGAGGCCATTGTCGACGACGGCGAGGGAGGAGAGGCCTTCGGTGCTCATGAGGAGGAGGGCTTCGGTGAGGGGTTTGTCGCCGCTGGTTGTATTAGCATTCATACTCGAGGATGTATAAAAGCGACACTTACTTGATAGCGATGATCTGGTGCGTCCCAATCTGCAAATCCCTCAAAATCTTCGGGTACAGCCTCTCAATAACAGGGAAGCAATTTCCATTCTCCCACAAAAAGTTCAACAGCTTGAACTGACTCAGCACCCCCACAACATCCTGTGTACCCTCCTTCACAACAATGATCCGATGCACACCCCCCGCAAAGAACTCCAGCGCCGCCGACAAGCTCTGTGGTTCCTCAAGCGTGACGAGCGGTGCCTTCTTCGCCAAGGATACCACATCCCCCAGCGGAATTTCCACGCCCTCCCGTCCCTTCCGCGCAATCTCAGTATATGTCTCTATCATATCTGGGTCCGGGCTTCCGAGACCAAGCACAACGAGGAGATAAGCGTTCAAATCACCATAATCGAACGTCCCACAAGCCGTAGACGTCTTCGCGTCTTCACGGATAAGCACAACACGCGGCGAACCGGACGTAATCAAAATCTCCCACCGTCAGCATCTCACACCCCTTATCGCGCGGCGCAGGGGACTTACATTCGTAGCCTCCTCGACACTCGTGTTCGTCTCCACGAACCTCACGTCCTCGGCAGTAACCAAGTCGCCAATCTCAATCGAGCGCCAGTCTCTCCCCGTGAACCTCGCATCAGGCTTATTCAGCGGCGTCGGGTTGTTGAGGAGCTCTTGCACGGCGGCCTGCGAGAGGGAGGGGTGGCGCTGGTTCCGTGGCGGGGGGGGGTGCGGGCGCATGCCGTCGGCGAAGCTGGAGCGGTGGCTGAGGGAGCCGGAGTGGGGTGAGGCGGGTGGGACGGGGACGGTGCGGTCAGCTTGTGCGCCTTGGGAGCTGTCTTGAGGCGTGAGGAGGGGGGTGTTGGTTGATTTCGTAGGGTCTGAGGTTGGAGGCGTCATTTTGAGGAATGTGTTGGGGAGTTGGCTTTTTGGACAGTTGGTGGGCGGGGAAAGAATGGATGATGCAGTTGGGAGCTGCAATGGCAAATCCCAGCCCCACCATTGGTCACACCCCACCATCTCGATATCTGGTTTCCCGCCCCGCCCCGTAACTTAATGGCGCCTGCCATTTTATAACTCATAGCCGGAATAGTCGATAGACATACGTTTTGTTAATTTATTTATAGGAGAATGTCTATATAAGTATATTCCATGATTGATTGAGTATCTGGCTTATAAGAATTTATTGTGCGGAGTGATTTTTTTTAAAAAAAAATATTACGATAACCTCCATGCATAACGTGGCTTATCAGTACCTCGCACACTTTCCCCCCAACTTACCTACCTACTTCAAAGTGCGATTGAACCACCACAACATCTAAATGAGGTCCAGAAGCTAAACTGGCAAGTAACATCAATAAAATAGGTGATCTGTTTCCACTCTGGGGGACTAATATGAAATATATTAGCTGCAGTAAACTCAGTTGTAAACTTATTCACTGCTTCTTGGAGTAAGACTGCTCGTAGCATCATATGTAGGGTTGAGTCCCATCGCGTTAACACATCTTGGATAAGTCGTAAGACCTTTGCTCCATCTTTAATACACTGTCTTTGGATTCCCATAAATCTCTCTCTTCGCTGTGAACTTGAATTCACAAAGACAGCTAGCTTCTGAAGCTAGTTTTATATTAGTGGCAATTACTATAAAAATTACTATAAACATACCTTGGCAAGGGTCCATGGAAGGCCCCTCTCTTTACTTAGATCTCTAATCTCATTGGCTGAATTTTCATCCCAGTCAGTCTGTAGCTCTGAGTTTGTTGGGTTTAATCGGATTGACCCAAGGAGAGCCTTTTGTGCAAGCTGGACAATATGTGCGAAGCATGGTATATGGTGAATGACTCCATCATGGTATCTTGTTGGCTCTGATGATAGCTCTTTTACCATGTCGTTAATAACCCCCATCATTGAAGTATTATTACTTGCATTATCAGTTGTAATACAATGAACTCTACCATCGAGGTGATATTGGGATATAACACGCTGGACAATGGTTGCAAGATCTTTCCCTGTATGGGCTCCATCAAGATACTCAAACCCAATTAAAGCCTCATGGTATTCCCATTTATCAGGTATGAATGTTGCCATAATACCCATAAAGGAGTGCCTTGTTCCAGGGCTAGACCAATTGTCAAGAGATAATGCACACCTTGCCCCAGGTACAAGACCATGAAGGGCAATCTGCTGTGCATTACTAACCATAACATCAAGGCGCCGCCGTAAGGTTGTTGGTGAAGGAAGTGGATATTTCTGATTCTGCCATAATGCCATCTCTCTCCAAATAGGATTCTCAACAGATCGGAATGATATGTTAAGAGATACTACAGTCTCAAGAACGTAACTGTAGAATGCTTCCTTTGGGTCGTCTTCTGGTTGTAGCCGCATACTCTAAATAATAGTTAGGTATGTTTATAGTAATAAGTATAGTAATATGTAATATTGCTTACTGGAGAGGATTGCGAGAGGCGGAGCTGGCTCTGATGTAATGTAGAATGGTTTGATGACTTCCTTATACACCCAGCTGATCGAAGGTGAGTGCTCATTGTGCTTGTCCCTGAGCCTTTAATACTTGGGTGGATGAGTATTTTCAAACACCTCTGGCAAACAATTACTGGTTCCCCAGTTGATTTTCGAGCTCCTTGGTCAAAGTGTCTCCATGATAATGAGGTCCGGGTTGTTGACCCCCAGTTGATTTGCTTATCAGTGCTTAAAAACATATTTGGCTGTTCTTTATACCAGGACTGGTAATGCCACCAGTCGTTGAATAGGTCTGCCTTTGAAGGCGTCCACTTTAGCACATTTAGACCTTGGATCTTTTCTAGCCCATCCCATTGGTTGTTAAGTTGTTGGGAGGACTCAATCTCAGGTGTTCTATTACTAGATAAAGGCTCATCAAGAGAGAATACATCACTATAAGGTTGTGCTGGTGAACTTAAAGATTGGTTATAAGACATAATATTTTAAAATATTCAATATTATATTATTATAAGGAAAATAAAACAGTCAACCTGAATATTTATTAAGGTCTACATCTAACGTACATGTATAGCGAAAGCGCCAAACAAGCGAAAGCGCCAAAATGATGCGGTGACCAAACCCCCCAACTAAATGTTAAATTCCTCAACAACAAAACATGCCCCATAAAAACGATGAAAGCCAATTAGTGCTAGCTATCCAGGCTATGCAAAGCGACCCAAAGTTACGCCTTCGAGTTGCTGCTAGGATCTATTCTGTGGACCACCGCAAGCTAGGTCGTCGTCTAGAAGGTGTACCTTCACGACGCGATATCCAAGCCAACTCACGGAAATTAACTAACCTAGAGGAGTCCGTCCTTGTTCAGTATATACTCGACCTAGCTGCCAAAGGGTTTCCTCCTCGGCTGTCTGTTGTTGAAGATATGGCAAGTCGACTACTTGCAACACGCGACGCGTCACGCGTTGGGTCGCGTTGGGCTTCAAACTTTGTTAAGCGGCGTGTAGAGCTCCAGACACGCTTTCAGCGCAAATACGACTACCAGAGGGCTAAGTGCGAAGATCCAGAAGTTATTAATGGCTGGTTTGAGCTTGTGCGTAACACAATTGCGAAATATGGTATCGATGAAGCAGATATCTACAACTTTGATGAGACTGGGTTTATGATGGGCGTTATCTCAACTGCTATGGTTGTAACAAGCTCAGACGGGCGGGCAAAAGCAAAGAAGGTACAGCCTGGTAATCGGGAATGGGTGATAGTAATCCAAGGCGTTAGTTCTCAAGGTTGGGCAGTACCACCATTTATCATTGTTGCAGGCAAAAACCACCTTACATCTTGGTATGAGAATAGTGGATTTTCAAGCGATTGGGTGATTTCTGTTACTGAAAATGGCTGGACTACAAACGAGAGAGGCATGGATTGGATTCAGCACTTTGAGAAGCATACAAAGGCCTGGAGTGTTGGTGGTTATCGCTTGTTAGTCCTTGATGGTCATGAGAGCCACCACTCAGATGAGTTTGAGGAGTACTGCAAGGAACACAACATTATTACGCTTTGTATGCCTGCTCACTCTTCTCATCTACTCCAGCCACTTGATGTTGGCTGTTTCGGCC